TAGATGTTATGACAATTTCAGTCTGTTTACTAGCCAAACTGGCTAGTGGAAATTGAAAACCACTAGCCAAAAGTGAATTTCTACTAGTCTGTGGCTAGTAGGCTACCCTTAATGTCGATTAAGTGTCGAGCCCTGCAGCAGTGACTGGTTTCTTATTTCTCCTTACAATATCACCTTGAATCAAGCATTATGGTTTCGAGAATAAAGGAAATGATCACCATCTAGAGAAGCTCTTATGATTGTTAAACAAATTCTCCTGGTCAGCTCTTAAGGAAATGTATAGAGAACAGTATGGAGAATATGCATACTGATGTTAGGATGTAAAGGATTAAGTCTTAGCGGCCAAGTGGCTCATTAGTAAGGGGTATTAACCCAATTTCTAGCTTTATTCCTCTCCACAGGATATAATTTGCTGTTGGAGAAACTCACCCGATACATAAGGTCTGAGAGCTGGTTTGGCACCTGGATTGCCTTTGGCCTGTTCATTTTCTATTCCTGTGTCTTCCTTTTCAGCATCTTCAAGCCACGGTAGAGAGGTAATTTTGTCTTCAAGAACCTTATGGGAAACAAGTCTTTAAAATCAAATCTACAAAAAAAAAAACTGTAACTATTTCAAAATGTATATAAAATATCAATGCCACCTCGAAAAGACCCTTAGAATGAATGATCACTTCCAAGGATTGTTTCCAGGTAATATTCAAAGGACTTAAAGTCAACAAACTGATGCACATGGCCAGCAGAGCTTCTCCTTGCTTCTCTGGGCTTCAATAAAAGTTAGACCCAAAAAGTATAACACTATCAATAACCCTTGCCTGACCTCAAACCCATTCCACCCCTCTGGAGTTTACAGCACTAAACAGAAGCCCTTACTTATTCCAATTATATACAACAACAACAAAAAAAACATACACATTTGTGTCTTTGACAATTTTTCTAACAGATTTAGACAACCTATCATCTTAAAGATAGGAAGTAAGCAATTATCACATTTGTGTGGTCCATAAACTGAAGCTTACCATCATATAACTTGCTGGTACGAATCCTCCTTCTCCATTTTCATTCTTTGCCTCCCACCAGAATGGATTTAAAGGGTGCGGTCGGACAAAAACTAATTTCTCTCCTTGTGTTAAAGCTAACTCATCAAATCCTCCAGGTTTGGCTGGATTCGCCTTATAGTTGTACTTTGCCAATAATCTTACTGGTTTACCTCCTTTTTGTGCTGGTGGTGTAGGGACGTTCCCTAATAAGAACAAATTTGAACACAAATTTAATTCAAATAAATGATAGCCTTAATATGGTAAGGAAACATAATCAGACATTTGTCTCCAATATAATTTGTTCTGAGCTCATGAATTGATGAATTGATAATTTTCTATGATGAGCATATTTTAGCAAATTATGGAGGCAATTGTGTTTTATTATAATTCAAGAATTTTTGCTGTGAAGGGTAAAGGAATGGTTACAAACAGCTTTCAGTGTTCTCTTTAATGAACAAACAAACAAACAAACATATCTCTTCTATAATAATAATAATTTGCATAGCGCAAATTCCATACAATGTTCAAATACACTTCACAATAAAATAACACATTAATAATTAATAATAGAAAAAAATCCGAGCCCCAGATTAACAACTATTAAAATAAAATAAATACTAGAACTACATACAAATACTAATGTTATACTAATACTGCTATAATATCATGTTCAGGATAAGATAAAAATGCTAAACGAAAAAGGTGTGTTTTTAACTTTGACTAAAAAGAGGCAGTGTGGCTGAGTGGTTAGAGTGTCGGACTTGTAATCCGCCGCTCCCGGGTTCGAGTCCCTCCCTGACCACTGGATCTGTTTCACGGTAGCCCCGAGTTCAGATCCTTGGCCACGCTTGTAAATAGCCAACTGGTTTGCCTCCGGCCGGTTGGGGTTCTTAATGATGTTCTTAATGATGTTATGTTCAATTTAGACCATTTGTTTCATTTGTTTGCAAGGACCACAATGGAAACTACTGGTTCACCAGTAATTGTGTAATCCTATAAAAAGACTTTTTTTTTTTT